GGGGGTTAATTTCATAGATTGTCATTCAGCTTTTACTTTATTGCACAGTCACTAAACTATTTTTTGTAACTAAAAAGTCACTCAACGTTCTTGATCTTCCATTTACCTTGCATCCGCCTCAGAAACATTATCGTTTGATTTGGTTGAATTGCCATGAATCAAAGGGTAGACTGACGATTTTGTCATGTTACCAAAGTTTATACCTCCACCCTGAAACTCAACGAGGATACCAAGTATATGAATAGATAAACATGAAAGGCAAAGCTGAGGATTGATGTTTAGCATTGTACAGAAGAAAGTTTGTTAGTCTTTACCTTAATCAGCTTGTTTCCACCCAAGAGAACGTCTGTCTCGAAGTCACGGTCAATGGTGGTGGCTGCAACTGTTAGAATCCAAGGAGCTGTATTGACAACAGTTTTTGGGCCAGGGCCACTATTTCCAGCAGAGCAAACAACAACAATGCCCTTTTCTACAGCATGAAATGCTCCTATGGCAATAGGATTGCTCGGAAAATCAGGTTCAAGTCCGGGTGATGAACCAAGTGATAGTGATAAAACATCAACCCCATCTGCAATTGCATCATCGAATGCTTTCATGATAGCTGATCCGCGGCATCCAAAAGTAGTACAGACACGATACATGGCAATCCTTGAACCCGGAGATCCACCCGTGGCAGTTCCTGTAGCTAGGCCATAGTAGGATGCACCTGCAACAGGACTCCCAGCTGCAGTAGACGCAACATGAGTACCATGTCCGTTCTCGTCCCTGGCTGATCCAGCTATTTTTGTTCCACTGTCATCAGACTCCTCATAAAATCTTGCACCAACTATCTTCCTGATCATAGAAAGTTACAATCATCATAAAAGACCAAAAACTATAAGCTTCTAATCATCAAAGGCGGAGCCACCTTAGGTTAAGAGGTGTCAATTGACACCCCTTCCCCGGGAAAATTACACTAAAGATAGTTGATTATTAAAACCTTGAGCTTATTCGTGTATTTGCTTCTTTATATTTTGACACCCTTAAAGAAATTAATGGATCCGCTACTACTAATCATATATCCTTGTTATAGGTACAATTCTTCTTTTCTCAATCAACTATACGTAAAATCGCCCAAGTTAGTTGGATCCGCCTATAAATTCTTTGTATCAATTCCTAATAGGATAGTCATAATCAGACTAAACTTACGTTGTCCCTCAACCTACCACAACCATCGTCTTCTACAAGATTTTGAGCCAACTATGTAAGTATATTCTATGTGAAACTCTTACAGGTGGAGTTTTGTTGTAACCATGAACCTTATAAAAGAAAGCGCGAAAACAAGGAGGAGAAAATTACTTGTTGCATTTTGAAGAGCCAAAATCTTGGCCATCCATGCAAGTTCCATTCCACCGGGCTGGAATTGGACCCATATCCTTGTCATTGAAACTCTCAGATTCTGGCCATATACCTGAATATAATATTGATGATCTTATGATCCTTGTCTTAATTATAAACAAAGAAAACTGCAATAAATTGGCAGTATTATATTATGATGTAATAAGACTTTTCTGAAATATCCTACCCGTATCCAATATGCCAATTATGGTATCAGCTCCAATTAATGATGAATCAGAACCAGAGCTTGGACTTGAATTAATTTTTTCATCAGTTTGATACTTCAAGAAATCCCATGAATGTGTAGTGTGGAGTTGCAGTACTGGATCAGGAAATACAGAGACAACTCCAGGTCTTTGAGCCATGGATTTAGCTTCAGCTTCTGATAAACGTGCTGCGAATCCTGAGAAACCATTCTTGTAGCTGTGTACCACTGCATTCTTGTTCCTAACATAAACCAGATATATATTAATGTTATGTTATTTTAGGGACGTGAAGAAAAAAGAAAATTTGAAAAAAACCAGTTAACACCAATTAAATTCTATATATAACCTATTCACACATTCACGGTAAAAACTGCTACCCCTTTTTTCATTTTATATGTCAGGTACTTGACTAAAAGAAATAAAGACTCTGGGAAGTAATAAAAAATAGAGTTTAAGTTATATAGCGCCACAATAAGAAACCATCAGGTCAACTTTAACTATTGTAGCAAGTAGCCTATCTTATTTTAAAAATTACGAATCCCACATTTTAATTAGGATGCTAACCTATGTATATCCTTTGAATGACGTGATAACGTTTAAAAATCTTTACGCGACAAATGTATATGAGTAATTAAAAAACACAACAATATCTAATATAGCAAAAGTATCATATATATCTAAGGGTTTTTAATATGCATGTCAATTCCTAAAAGGCATGCAAAATAGATATGTTAAAAACTCTTACCTTCTGATCAAGGAGCTCATAAGCTGCGCTTGATCATGTCTGGTACCACCATTAGATGAAGCCGCAGCACCCATATAAACAATATAAATGCCATTGTTTTGTGCTTGAGAAGCTGAGTCGGCTTCTGTTATGAAAGAGACAATGAAAAGAGAAAAGCATAAGAACAAATTAGAAAGGCCTTTCATTTTGCTGCTGACAAATGTTGATGAAAATTAAGTTCGTTTTATAGTGTCGAAAATGCTTGATCCCACTAGCCCAGTTCTATAAATTGGATAGACAATATTATGTACTATGAAATCATAAAAATGAATTGTAAGTAATGGTAATCTTTAATTGTTGGTGCATTCATGCGTGTATCCACTGCAAAAGCGCCCGTCAATCAGCTATGTTATATTCTCTCAAAGTGCGTTTATTGCTTATCCAAATTAGCACGCCAACTGAGACAGTGGATTAGTAGTGATAATGGTGGTAGGCAGGCAGATCGTGGTGGTGGTGATTGGCTACTCGAATTAGTATGTAAGTTAATTTATAGTCGAAAGCTACCCATGTATAATGGCTTAAGAACTAGACCAAACTTTTTTTAGGTGTACAATGGGAAGTATTAGACAAAATGTTAAAATCTTTGGTACGCTACATGTCTATGCAAGTGGTGCCACAATGATAGAATACAAGGGTCCACCAAACTATATAGAGAAACAGGTTCTCTATTAGTTCCCACAGAACACACGCACACTGCAGTAAACAAATGACACAAAGAAGTTTTACGTGGAAAACTCCCAGCTCACGGGATTAAAAATCACGACCTACCCTTGTAGGATTTCAACTTCACTACTGAGCAATCTTTAGATTACAACCTATTGTAACCTAGGAATTAACCTCTTAATCCCTCACTAACTTGTAACAACTCTATTACAAGCCACTTTGTAATAACTCTATTACAAAGACTTATAACTCGACTAACTCTAGCCAAGACACAAACACAATGGTTTATGATTTACAAAGGTTTCCTACACAATGCTTCTAACTTAGCTAACTAGGAATTACAAGTGAAGAACAAAATAATAAAGACTCAACAAACCTAAGGACTTAAGATATCTTCAATCTTTGGATCTGGCCTTTGAGGTTGCAGTAGCTTTGTTCTTGAGAGATGTGGTGGCTAGCACTTGAAAGAATATTATCTTTTGATTTGCAAGTTTTTTAACCATGAAATCCCTTGCCTCATGTTGATAATATGTGTGTATGAGGTCACTGGGATGATGTAAGCAAATATCTGGTACAAGGCATGCCCCATAAAGTGACTGCTGCACTGTTGTGTGTCTAGTGCAATAATGCAACGACTTTAACAGCTGTAAGGAGTTGACATGTACTGTGACTGGAGGAACTGATCTCAATCTGTTCCCTCTGTTGTTCCCTTAACTGATTTCATTGAGAGTTGAACCAGACATCTAACTCGTTACTCTTAGCGCAAAGGAACTAATTGTTTTAGGTTCCTTATCTGGTTCTCTCATGAAGTTTGTCAAATCATCAAAACAAAAGATATATAACTTATCAATTTTCCCCTTTTTGATGATGATAAACTTAGAGTTGATATTTCCCCTGAGAACCAGATCTGCGCATTGTTCCCTCTACGAATCAGCCATATTTCCTCTGAGAACCTGTTTCCTCCCTTTCAATTTTCAAGTAACATATCTGCTGTCAGTCGATACAATGGAACAACTTTTACAACTGTAGAGTTGACTGTACGACGACCAAGGGAACTGATCACATCTGGTCCTATCTGGTTCCTCGAGAGCGTTTGGCAAATTATCAAAACACGAGATAGCATAACTAATCAATTTTCTTTTTTTGATGAAGACAAACTTAGAATTAATATTCTCCATGAGAAAACCATATCTCCCATATTGTTCCCCCTGCAAAATAGCCATACTCCCCTTGAGAACCTTTCCCTATCTGGTTCTCATATGAAGTTTGTTAAATCATGAAAACACAAAGACACATAACTTATCAATTTCCTCCTTTTTGATGATGACAAACTTAGAATTGAAGTTCCCCCTGAGAACCAGATCTCCATATTGTTCCCCTTGCAGAATAGTCATATTCCCCTTGAGAACCTGTTTCTTCCCTTCATTTTTTCCCTTTCAATTTTCTTCCCCCTTTTGGAATCATAAAAAAGAATTAGCCGAGTAAATGCAAAAAGAAGTCCAGCAAAGTTAACTCATGCCACTTGTATGCACACAACGTAGCTAAAAACAGAACGCAAGAGTATAACATGCATTAATAGAAGACGATGCTCATTAAGTTAGGGAAAAAATATTGTAGCAGTACCATAATTACAAACATACAGAAGTCAAACAAAACTAGAGTACCACAATCCAAAGGAAGGACAACAAAAGGACATGATAAGATTAAACAAGAGCTGGCATAGGTATGGGTGTTTAACGGGTGGGCCAGGCCGGGCCTCTATTTTTTGGACCCGTACGGGTTACGGTCCGGGCCAGTTCCGGGTTGGTTCTTAACGGGTTTAACGGGTTCGAGTTCATACGGATAAAAATTAAACCGTAAGGGTTACGGGTTGAGGGGGCTGGGCCGGGCCGGGTTTAGTGTATTTTTAATTTTTTTTTTGGAATTTTGTATAAATATTGTAAGTTATATTAATACAAAGTACTAACATAAAGAATACAAGGAAGATGGGAAAAAATTGCACTTATTGCAATTTGCAAGTGCTGATTTTATTTCATAATTCAAACTTACAAATTGAAAGGTTTATATTTTTAACAACAAGTAAATTCACCAAGGGTTTTAAATATATACCTCTAAAATGCAATATTTCACCTATNATTAGAGTTTTTCATTCTTCTTCTTGTTATCATTATTTTGCGAATTATGAGTGATTTTATGGTTTTATCTTGTTTTACCATGAGTAGCTAAACATTTAATCTAGGGTTGATGGAACCAACTGTTAGATGAAGTTTTGACTCAATTTTGTTATAATCGAGCCGGGTTTATTATATGATTGTTCAACTATGTTTTGTATGGTGATTAATTGAATGGGCCCTCGATTAATCGTGTCTAATTGCCTTGTGTTGCTTGAGAAAGAATACTAGGTTAGATTGTTGTTGAACAACACCACTTTTGGGTAATTGAAGAGATTCATTACTTGAATTTAAAAGTGGGGTTAGAGATAACGAAACTTTGGTGGGATAATTCAGAGCTGCATAAATTATCAGCTAGAGTAGTTCGAGAGAATGCTCTAGTAAATTATTGTAGTTGATCGAGAGATAATTGCGGTAATCCATAGCTCATAATCCTCATAGAGTATTACAGCGAGATTATAGCAAAAGAGTTAAGAATTAAGTTAGCAATTGGGGAAATCAATACCCTAGATCTTTTTACCATTGAATTATCTTTAATTTAGAATAGTGTTAGTTTTAATATCCTTTTACTTTAGTTAAACAAATCTCACTATTTATTGATAAAAATCTTGCATCCGAAAATTGTTTGAGCTTGTACTAGCATCGCTAAGAGTTGTAATAGATAGGTTAGTTCCCTGAGGATTCGACTCCGGACTTGAAAAACCGGATTATATTTGCAACAACCGCTTTGTCTTTTATAAGGCATAGTTGGGCGTGATCAAATTTTGGCGCCGTTGCCGGGGAGTTAACGGTGTTATTTATTGCAACTTAGAAAGTGTGATAGAATTATTAGTTTAGATCAATTTTCTACGGTGTTAAATAATTTTTCGTTGAAATTCTCACGTTTGAACTCTTGTGTGATTCAGGTGTATGCCTAGAAATTCTTCGAGGACTGGTGAACTGCTTGAAGGACTCTCAGACCCCGAGAAAACATTTAGGGCATTAAACCGTGCCAACAAGAAGAACAAACAATCACAACAAACACACCAACTCGCAACTGAAATGGACAACAGGGAAAACATCAATGTGCCAAACGAAGCAGTGGTGGCACCTCTTATGCCAGAAGCTGCACTTTATGATTGGGCACAGGCAACAGCTGACAACCTGGCCACCGCCATTGCTGTACCCCAAATACAAGCGGAGACATTCCAGATTACCAACAACATGCTGCATCTTTTGCAGAATAAGGGATTGTTCTCCGGGTCACATGACAATATGAACAGATAAACAAAACACATAATACAAATAGGTAAAAAAAAATACCTTGGAAATCAACCAGGCTTTTTCCATGCGTTCAACAAAGTTAAATGAACTATCAACTGCTGATGCTCTTACCACAAAAATTCTGGGTATTTGCTTTAATCTAGGGTTTCCAGGGAAAATCAATTGTAAACAAATATGAACAGATAAACAAAACACATAATACAAATAGGTAAAAAATACCTTGGAAATCAACCAGGCTTTTTCCATGCGTTCAACAAAGTTAAATGAACTATCAACTGCTGATGCTCTTACCACAAAAATTCTGGGTATTTGCTTTCATCTAGGGTTTCCAGGGAAAATCAATTGTAATCCTCTTGGTGTTGCAAATCGATTAATAACATTTGATTTTGCAGTAATTATGGATCTACAAGAACATGTACAAGTACTGCTACTTGCTATTTTTTCCCTTCTTTTTTTCATGTTCAATTTCTTGCCCACAGAATTCGAAAATTAAAAAAAAAAACAAAAAAAAGAGTAGCCGTTTGAACTGGGCCGGTCCGGGCCGGTTAATCCAGTAAGAGTTACTGTTCACTCTTCCGGGTTCAACCGGGCCGGTTACCCGTTTCAAAGAACTAGGACCAACCCCCCAACCCCCTACCCAAACCAGCCCAGCAGGGCCGGTTCCGGGTTCTACCGGTCTGGGCCGGTCCGGAACCGGGTCAACCCGACCAGTTTAACACCCTTAGGCAAAAGGGTAAGATAGGGGACACTGGATGGAGAAGGAAAGGACTAGGAAGCAAGGGCTTTGAGGAGGCTGTCAATGCAAGCATTAACAACCCTTTGATCGTTGATCATCTGCTCATTCAGGTTCTCCACTTGGTTCCTCAACTCCATATTTTTAGCTTTTAGGCAGGCAACTTCTTCTCCCTGAGGATTGATGGAACCAGGTTCCTTGCTGGCGTGATTGAGCTTAGACTCAAGAATAACATTCTGCACTTTTCGTCGCCTAATTTCCTCATTTGCAGCATTTTGGGCATCAATAAGATGAGAGATTGTGGAATCGTTGCCTATTCCCCCCCTTTTGTCAACATACTCATATTCCTCCA